TTCATTGCTGTTTGAATTCTTCTGTAGGTGCGCGCTAAGCATAACATAGCTAGGTATAACGTATGTTTGGTGTTCGAAGTTAGCTCAGACACAGTACACAGTACGAGTAAAATAACCGTCCAAAAATTCGATAAGATTGGCTATACGGAAAACAACTCTATATTCCGTACACTTCAGTACACATATTACTTGATTCCGCCAACGATTTCGAACAAAATGTTGCCTGCAATACAGATGCAATACTCTACGGTATGTCTGATTTAAATGTGACCGTTTAGTCGTGCAATTATTCACGGGAGCGGAACATATAATATCTCGACCGCGGTCTGATGTCACACTTTTCAACTTCGTCGTCTAGCATGGGACGTTGACAACGTCAGCGATGTTGCACAGATATCAAAACGTTCCAAAGTATGTTTAACTTGACTGACGTGATGTCAATTCGAATTTATAGTTTATAAATAGTTGTTTATGTTTCTTACAATTTAAAAAGTAACATTTACAGTCAAAATGATTATAACATTGTACTAAGAATAGAAAAATGTGCTATGTTGATGACATAAAAGAAAAAATATACAGAAAACAGCGAAGTTCAATCAATTATCATTATAATCAATTATACATTTTATTTGTTTCTGTCTTCGCAATTCATGCTTTGAACAATAAAAAAATCGATTGTTACACGTTTCAGCGGGGATATGTTATCTAACGTAATTATACACTACCGGCACTACAACCAAAATCCAGATATAGACTGACAACATAATTTACATATGCATGTACTAAATATATCATACCGATAAATACATGTCACGGGGTCGTTTAAATAAAGACATTCATGGGAAGCTACCTTTAACACAGTAAAGCCGTACACACACTGGTACTTACTTTTAAGAATTGAACTCAATACAGACTCACATAAACTGGTACTTATTGGTATTGCCCACATACATTAGTCTCTGAGTATGCACTGAGAGAATGGCCCTCAGTATAGATTGAACTTTATTAGATAAAAATGTCACGACGTGTACTATTGCTGGCTGCCTTACGTATTCACATCACCTGACCCGACACTGCCATCCAATTATGACACTGTTAGTCTATACAATTTTTTCACACTTATATGGGGGAATACATATCACTCATATAAAGCAAATATATCAACATCCTTCTGACAATACGGCACTGTAGGACTACAGATCAAAACGATAATAACGCTTCTTCACCGCCTTCGTGTTACCCACTCACGTCGTATAAGCCTTTTTTTCACTAGAGGACGCGATTTATAGGAAAGATGCATTCAAACACACACACGCAAACGAATTCTTTCTCCGGGATTACAAGTGAAACCACAATGTAAACCAACACCTGAGATTGTTGACAATTAAACCATCATGACAGATCTGAAATAAATATCTGACTTGGCAATCTATTCCTCTCATGAAATTATCTTTCAATGTAGTCGCCATGATTTGGATGCATACATAATTGTACAATTTCTACTAAGAAATACTCCCGCCTTCCAACTATGTAAACATTCGCGTATTCCCTATGATTGTTTACAGCGTCCATTATGTGAAGATAACTATCCATCTAAACCGTATGGATGCATATCCGACACTGTGGGTGTTGCCATGTGTATTAGTAAAGACCAGATATGTGATGGCCTGACCGACTGTGGTGACGGGTCAGACGAACAAGATTGTGGTAAGTACAGATTTACAGCAAAGTTTACGCCAATTATAGTAGTTAGCATTCGCGAGATGCCGTCGACAATATTGGGTAAATAAGCTGTGAAATGTTATTTCCAACATAACCACGACCACACCGTATATTAGTGTAAAGTGAGAAGGTGTCTTGTTGAGAAGGTGGAATTAGTTTAATCAGTGAAGGCTTAAAGCAGGCGCGGTTCTAGCTTCACATGTGGTGAATATTACAGAATGATTTGTTATGGGGAAATTATGTTGATCTTGACTGGTACTTCAAATAACATTAAAGCAACCAGAGTGTATAAGTACCTAACACCACAGGACATCGGTGAGTGGTTTTAGACCACCGTCCAAGACTTATGTGATACTGAATATAATGTAAGGTTAATTTTTCATCGCCAAATCACTTAAGATTTATCAATGGCGCCCTCTAACATAATTCAAACATAATTTTATACACGTGATATAGTCAACTTAGCCCAAAGGGAAACTTTAATACAGCGACTTGACGCCGGTTTGCGGTCAATTATTCAGTGTAACTAGTACTTCATCACATTCATTTCTTCAAAATTCCCTATTCGTTTAATAATAGATTACAGTAAATGGTACGGCACAGCAGGTGGCAACTGCCCGGCTCCAAATCAAAACGCGTCGGGTGCTGGTGGTATGGCTGTTCTTGGGCCACAGTTTAACGAGGCTCACAACTATTTTCGATGTCTCCATGGCGCCCAGAATATGACGTACGACGTGTTGCTGCAAGAAGGCGATGCCAAAGATGCTGCTGACAATAGCGCCGCTGCAGGCACACCGACACACACCCACAGCGGCGAGAATTTGGCGCTTGTGCAAATTAGTGCCTCGAAGACTACGGGTATATATATATATTTTTAAAAACATTATACACGGTTACATACAGAGATTCTTCGTGCTTTTATTGTAACGTCACAGTCGCCTTCGCACCTACATGCACACTTCAATATCCACACAATAAATATTAAAACCCACTGGAAAGATGTTTTGTTTACACCATATGAGTTTATACTAAGAAACAATACACCCTTACTATAAATCACGCTCTCTTTTGACAACACGCTTCTATGACGTGATGTGTGACTCAAAGGCCGTAGTCCACCATAAATGAAAATTATTTTTTGAGAAATGACAAACGACTTACATTGTTGGATTCACTTACTTACGACTTGGATTCACTCATACACGTCATCACTAGACTTGATACTTTTTCATCATTATTTGAAGGATTCGGTATCACCAAGTTGTGGTACGACGAGGTGAAGGACTATAATTATGATGACCCATCTAAAAGTACCGGTACTGTAGGTAAGTGGACGTAAGAATTCCCTCGTCCTTTTCCCCCTCTCCCCCATCAAGCTTCAATATGCCCAATTAAAATGTCGAAACTTCGAAGAATGTTCCATGTCATGTGCACACAGAATTGCCTTTATTTTATTTTATTGTGTGCGTCCCCACTGTTATAGAGCTATTATATAGCTGTAAAGCTGGCACATAGTCATGACTAGTACGTTATCGTCAGAAAAAAAAACCTTGAACTACTAAGACCAAGCTTGGCATTTCTACTTTTTCAATTTACTAGTTTCATTTTACAATTTGCACAGTGCTTTGAAAACTAGTCGCTTTGTAAACATTTGTTCTTTTGTAAGTCGCCTGTAGCCATAAATCTACTCATCAAAACAACGAGACAAGAGTCTCTAATTTAATTTGTGTTGTTTCGCGGACGCATCATAATGTTTAATGGTTATCAAACGATGTCTATACGTTCAAACTTGCACGGACCAATCATATTACTGGGTGGATCACACGGAATGATAATATCAAAACACGTCACGTGATGATGCCTTTATCACATGTAACTTCTGTGATCCATATGACGTATATGCATAATAATCCATTTGTTTTACAGGACACTTTACTCAAGTGGTATGGAATTCAAGCACAAGCCTCGGATGTAACTTTGCCGTAGGCATTAATGGCAATACGCATTTTGCTTGTGAATATCGCCCTCCCGGCAACGTAAAAGGCCAAATACAGGATAACGTCTTCAGACCCATTGATGAAGGAGAGAGCCGATAGTCGGTCAAAACGACCACCTACTTTGAATATAATACAGGCATTGTGTTCTCTTACTTGAGAACAAATCTTTATCGCGGGACTTATTGCCTAATACATTGGTGCTACATGGTTCAACTCGGTACAGCATGAATACATCTCAGATTAATATGTCTAATTAAAGGACGGTGGTCGTCGCACTGCTTACTGTTCGATATGGTACGCATAGCGACGCATACAACATGCATTGTTCGTTTACATGAAATTCGAGCACGCGCTGCGCGACGACCACACTACTTTTCATTTCTATATACAGTAAATCTAACATAAATGTACTAAACAACAGTGTTGTAAAACATTGCTTCGTAATGTATATTTTTGATCCACCGATCTGCAATGAACAAATAAAAAACGGCGCAAACATACGAGAATCATGTTTATTGTCAAGGCATGTGAGCAAATAAATTACGATGCACATTTCTCCCCTTGGTTTCGGCCATAAAATATTTAGCAAAACTATAATATAGACGGGGTATGACACAGTGTGTTTCATTTTCAGACACACCGCGTACCAGACATTATTTATGGTGTTCGTAGTTGACGGTCGAGTCCCAAATAACCACATCATCATTATTTTAACGTAAAATAGTACGGAATTTTATGTGATGGTTTTGACATTTTTTATGAATACAGAAATTAACCAAATTTGTCATGAACATACTGAAAATTGTTGTTTGATCGAGCCTATTTTTTTTAGTTATCACACCCTGACGCTGGCTGTACAAATATTGTTCAAAATCAGAGTCACCCGGGGAAGTTGGTTGTTAACAACGCATCAGTACATGCAGTATTGCGAAGGTACATGGTTGTTTTATTGCCGGTAAGATTATTTCGCCCGTAATCGAACTAATTTTAAATATGCACAGAACGGCAGCTACACATCTCGTGAGAGCGAACATTTGATATTGAGCTCAGATTAATGAATTATGTTTTTTTAATGATTGAACATGGTGTGACCCTTGTTTTATAAAAGGCATACATGCATAATAATGCGAAGAAGAGCATGCTACTCGTAAGCAATGGTACGAGCATTGGATGAAAAAATGCAGGTCACGTGTTCTATATGGCGAACATCTATTGGTCAGCTTGAGTCTTGTCATAGAACTCATTCGCATATTCGAATATGTTCGAACTACAAGACCCTGTTGGTTAACAAAGTTATGCGTAAGTCACTTGGTTACTTTAATCACTTTAATAAGACGTTTCACGCCCCGACTTCGAATAAAATGTTCAGTTAATAAGATTAAAATATACATGACTTGCGTTAGAAAAGTGCAATTCTTTCCTAAATGCCAAAGCAT